TCATCTTCTAAATTCCTCTACAGCAAATCGTTATTTACTTTCTGGTAGAAACTAAACATCAAAGATGTAAAATAGGAAGATAGTTTCTCTTGCCCTGCAGAACTGGCACTTCCTTCCTAAGTACAACTATGCTGGCAAATGCTGTTATTAACTCTATGACTGTAAGACGTGCACACTAGTTCCTTTGAAATTCTATAAAATAGTTGTCCTTAAGTGGTGATAGACAGAAAAGAATGAAGCAGGAACAACAAGAATTACTTTACATACTAATAATAACAATTTAGTTATCAAAACAGAACCAAACAAATGTGCCTTTATACTGTTCTTTTAAAAATTTAGGCTCCTAGGGTTCTAATAATCAGGACCTATGGTTCAGGAATGCACAGTAGCACTCAGCTCAGTGCCTATATCCTCATTTCAAAGAGAATCATTCAAACCGACATCTACCCTGTCAAGAATCTCGACTTTGAGCTGCTAATGTAGAATAAAAATCAATATAAATTTTGATCATTTGATGAATATTTACTTCTTTCTTTAGTGTTTGGGGATTTAGAATTGAAAAGTGCTGAATCAAGTCATTTTATTTTTTTGTGTTTGTGCCAACACCAATTTACTACCCTCCAGAAAGTTCCTGAACAAGATGTCTCAGGTGGCAAGCATGTTGGTTTTTCCTGTCAATCATAACAGTGTGTCAGTAGGGAACCATAAGCATTTCCCTTTCATACTCTTAGTGTTCCAAAAAGGAATATTTTGATTACTTCCTTGGAAAAGGTAAACTTTCTCATTTAGCCACACTACTGTAAACCTGGGTGTCTGTTGTTTTTGGCATTCAGCTGAGCCTAAATTGATACAATCTATTAAAAGTTAAACACTCCATTTTAGGCTCCGAGGGTCATGCACAATAAACAGAATTTACAAATGGGTTCCTCTACAAGCACAATTCAGTATTACCCTCAAAACAAAGAGCTTTTATAGAAGCTGCTATATTTCTCCATGCATTTTCTGAAAAATAACAAGAAAATATCAACTGACTGCTCTAATTAGCAGACAGACTTCACAATAAAAAAGACTTTACAGTTTTATTATAAATGAAAAGAAAATGCACTACAGACAAATGACATTAAAAAAGCTTAGCAATCAAAATATGATTCCTATGTAAGGCTAGTTACATGAGTAGAGGAGCATACCACCATTTTCATTATAATTTGATATCTGTAGCAAAAGATTACTATTCTTACAAAATAATTCCACAGTGATTTTTAAAATGATGGTCTTTTCCAATCTGAAAAAAGCCTAAATTAATTGCAAACACCAAAAATGTAAGATATCCTCATAAAAAAATCTTATATATGACATAGTGGCATAACACTCTATATTAAGGATGCATTTTTGATGGTTCCTTATAAATTAAATAAAAATGACAGCAGCTGCCTTTCTCAAGAATGACATACCCCTGGACAATCACTAGATATTATGTAGACAGATGTTTTAAATAAAATAAAGTATTTAGATTGCTAGATATGAAGGCAATTATAGGATGTCTTTGTTAAATTACATTTTTCATTTTTGTGAGGGGAAAAAAAGAATTGTCCTGGAAACAGTACCAACAGGAAATGATCCTATATCTAAAACAGCTGGAGACTGTAACTAATATAAATTTACTTGAAAATAAAAATGCTGTGTGCCTCTGGAGACATGCAGTAACATGCCATAAAAACAGATGAGAATATAAAAGTATTTAAAAAGGAGAAAATACATTTTATCTAGATATTACACTGAGATGTGAGCCACTGATAAATGACAAATATATAAAGATGAAGAAAAGAGAGAAAATCAGATGAGCCATTTTAAAACTTATAATAGATATTTTATTTAAAACTATATTTGTAGAAAATATCAAAAATATTTTTCTTAGAAAATCCTTTGCTTTTTAATATACTGGTTATTAATCAATTTACTGAAGGCATAATAATAATGTAAGGGCAAATAATTGTGTTTACTTAAAATTCTAATGGAAGCAGAAGATGCATACTATGAGTAAGGTAAGGGCCTTAAATGTTAGATAAGAATATTCTAGCAATTCTCAAAGTCATATGTAACTAAGGCTCCCTACTACATGTGTCCATCTCCTCCTATCCCCATTCTTGTTAGCTGTTGAATTGGAAAGGTATCTGATATACTAATTCATACCAAATATACACAAACATTAACATCTTGTAGTGTTATGATATACACTGGTTCTCATCCAAAGCTCCTGGCTTATAACTCCCATAGCCTTTCCTTGGTTATAATGTTGGGTGTGTTAGGCCTCAGGGGTAGGCCTCTGACTTTCTGCTCTCCTTTCACCTGCCCTAAGGCAGGACTCTAATGTTCGCCTGCTTTTCTGATTGTGAGTCTTAAGACTCTCCCATGAGAGGACCCCACCCTATACTGCGGGGGAACGAATGCTGACATCATGAAGATTCCATAAAACCCCAAAGGACGGAGTTCAGTAAGTTTCCAGATAGCTGAACTCATGGAGGTTACTGGAGGGTGACACACCCAGGAAGGGCATGGGAGCCCCACGCCCCTTACCCCAATTATCTCCCTATGCATCTCTTCATCTGTATCCTTTACAATAGCCTTTATAATAAACCAGTAAATGTAAATAAATGTTTCCCTGAGCTCTGTGAGTTGCTCCAGCATATTAATCCAACCCAAAGAGGGGGTCATGGGAACCCCAACTTGAAGCCAAAAGTTCGGCACTCTGATCAGAATTTCTGGAGGGCTGAACTTTCAACTGGTATATTGGGGGCTGGGGGAAGTCTTGGGGACTGAGCCATCAATCTGTGGGATATGACACTATCACTGGGTAGATAATGTTAGAACTGAATTAGAGGGCACTCAGTTGGTGTCTGCTGCTCAGTGTACGGGGAGAACTCTCTCCACCCCCAAATATGGTCACAGAAGTCTTCTGTATTGACGATTATTGTCGTGTGAGAGTAGAGGAAAATCACAGTTGAGTTTTCTCTACACATATCTTAACATAGAACATGTCCAAGTTCATGAATTTCAATATTCTTCACTTAAAAATTGAAATGCATTAATCTACACGATACTTTTAAGAAAAGCTATGGGTGGAAATCTATTTGCACAGCAGGGGTGAGGAGAGCATGAAAAAGTATCTCCAAGTCTTGAGTGTTTACCTGTCTTATCTGTACCTGAGACTCATCCTAGTCCAGTTCCTAGGGGTCTGGGTCTCAGACAGGAAGAGACCATGTGAAGTTGAGACTTCCTATGGGGCCCTAATTTGCACAGTCAGAGAAGATCACAGAGCCTCAGAAGCTGGTGTATGCATGTCAGCTGGAGAGGAGACCCAATAAAGGAACATAAGGTGAACAGAATAAGGGTAGAATGGAAGAGGAAGGTGAAAAGAGCATGCATGTATGATGAATGTGAATAATAATTATCACAAATATACCCATAGAACCCAAAAAGGAATGTTCTTAAACAAAATCGTGACTTAAAATTCTTTTGTATGCTGACATTGCAGTAATATTTTCAAAAGTAAAACTCTAGAACCTAAATTAAAACTCAAAAAACATAACCAATATTCTTCACTTTTCTCTACAAGTTCATCAAATGTTAAAGGAAGCTACAGTATTTTCTGGTAGATCTGTGACAAAGCCACACACAAGCATGCACACACATACACACAACTCTACAACAATGATTTCCATGAATTTGTATCCTCTTTATCACTGTATAGATTGATCATCATTGCTGCTTAGAGCTTGTAAAGCTTGACTTGTTGCTTAGCTGTTCCTGAAAATTCTCACTACCTTTTTGCTATTATATTCAGAGGAGACTGAAAAAAATACAAATACACGTTTTTTTCCTCTTCAGTGTAAGGGACAGGTTAAGCAAAATGATATCCTCCTGCTTTATCTTACTTTTGCTTATCTCAGTTATCACTCCAGTCTCCTCCCTAGCTGCTCTTGCCCTTGCCCACACACAGATTCTCAGGTTCTTTCCATTTTAATTCCTTGAGTGAATCTAGCCCCTTCCCACCTCGGACACGTTGTTTCTTCTGCCTGGAATTCTCCTCCTATCTTTTTCACATGGCTAGCACCTATATATGCTTTAAGTTTCAGTTTAAGTGTTACTTCCCATGGTGAGCATCTACATATACGTAAGTCTCCATTTAAATGTTACTTCTTTCCCTGATCAGCTTATCTCAGGTAGGTATCTCCTATTATACTCTCTCTCAGGTCTTACTTATTTTCTTCCTAACATTTACTGCAACTTACAATAATATTTATTTAACTGGATGATTTTTTTAAAAAATGTTGCTTATTTTCATTCTTGCTTGTTTCACTGGGATCCATATCCCACTGAAATGTAAATACCATATGGGAAGGCATCATATCTTTCTTGTTCATAATTGCATCCCCAATGCCCAGAAATTATATGTTGAATGAATTAGTGAATGAATGAGTTGCTGAGTGAAAACTTGTGAACTATTACAGTAGGAGGCTAGAAGGAGAGGTGATGTCCATGCAGAAAGCAGAGATCCTTGGCTAGTGCTGACAAAGACCTCAGGTTGCCAATCTGAGAGGGAAGATATGAGTAGTCGAATTCAAAAGACTTCTTGAGCCACAGCAGGATAAATACCCTTAAAAGGGATGCTTTGACCAAAGTCTCCTGAGATTCCTTCAGTTTAAGAAGTGGATTGGGGCTGGGTGTGGTGGCTTATGCCTGTAATCCCAGGGCTTTGGGAGGCCGAGGCTGGGGGGATTACCTGAGGTCTGGAGTTCGAGATCAGCCTGGCTAACATGGTGAAACCCTGTTTTTACTAAAAATACAAAAATTAGCCAGGGATGGTGGCACATGCCTGTAATCCCAGCTACTTGGGAGGCTGAGGCAGGAGAATCGCTAGAACAGGGAGGCACAGGTTGCAGTGAGCCGAGATCATGCCATTGAAAAAAAAAAAAAAAAAAAAAAAGAAAAAAAGAAAAAAAAGAAGTGGATTGGGATTGTCTAAGAAGTGCAAACAGAAAACCCCTGGAAGCTATTAAACCTCCATGTTACACATTTTAATTTAAAGTGATGATGTTTAATTTTAGCAAGTCTCTATGAAACTTGAACTCTGGAGATAAAAGACCCCGTTGAGCTAAAACATGGAGAAAATGTATCACACTCCAGACCACAGAGGGAAACAGAATTCTCAAAGTCACAGGGAAGAATAGTTGAACAACACATAACAGGATAGGAAAGTTCAAATCACAAAGGAATGAAGGGAAAATGAAAATGCTTATTTAAAATCAAACACCCTAACCTGGGCTCTCAGTGACTCCCAAATGTACCTCATTCAGCTTTCAATTAACAAAGGGGAAAGAGATGGAACAATTTACCTCTTGAAGTGCCAATAACTTTTTATGAATTGTATTTCTTCCATTTAGGATGGAAGTCTGAGATATTTCATATCCTTAAACAGAATCTGTTCTATGGATAACTGTCAAAATATAACATCAATTATAATGCTGTTATACTCACAGGTATTATTGGTGCTGCTTTTCTTTACATAGAATGGCTTTAGACCCAGTGATTTTAAAGTTCTTGTTTCTGACTTAACAGCTCATGCTCTCTACTACATCGAAGATGGAAGAGTTATTCCTTGCAATTCTTGATGTGGCAGCCTCTAGTAGCTTGTCTCACCTTTCATATATGATATGTTAAATTAAGCTGAGAAACTAGACAACTGAAGTTCTAATAAGTATATAAAAAAACAAAAGTAAGTAGTCTCAGAATAAAAGCAAAAGAAGTCTTATTTCAGTTTCCAGGGTTTGAATTCTCAGCATTTGGGTTGTTAGATCATTTTGGTTTCTGCTACAGTTTGTATAATTAAAGTTGACCATGTAAGTAGCACATGGAGGTATAACTCTATCAAGATTTGGAGAAAGAACCAAAAAGGAAGGAGTTCTATGCCTGGGAGAAAGATACCTGGGCTGTATAGAATTTCTCATGGTTGTGGGAAGTTGAACCCATCCTTATTATCAATTGACATTAAAACCCTTTTGATGATCTTTTGTTACATATAAGACACAAATCACAGGAGTAACTAGTGCCCTCATACTTGAGTCATTAGACCCATCACTGGCCAGCTTACTCAGCATCCAACCCAGATGAAAAAAAGGCTTCTGTATCAGGCTTGCCATAGCACAGCTTGTCATATTATTATTTTGACTTAAAAATTAAACAATAACAATGAAGAACAAAAGCCTTTTAGTGGTTGCTATTTTCTTCAGAATAAAATCAAATGTCTTAGTATAGTATTTAAATACCTGGTGTCATGGTTGGATTCCAGTCTACCTTTGCATGTACCCTCCATGACTTCCTTTTCTGACAAATAGCAAAACCCACCTATACTCACATCAGACTAAGCCATGTCCTCCCAGGTACACAGCTTTTCCACCTCTGCTTCCCAGGCTTCCCTCCAATTCTGCAGCTCCACATCTCACATATTCCTCTGGGCTCAAGAAACTCCTCCCCCACCTGAATGTCCATGATACATGATCTGTCCTTCTAATATAAAACATATCTCTCTTCACCTTATAGTACTCAGGACTCCTCTGTCCTGTTAGATTTTAGGCTCCCCAAGAGTGTGATATGAACTGGATTTCTTTTGACATCACGCACAGGTTCCTGACCCACAGCAGAGACTCAATAAGTATGTACTGAAAGAATGAGTGAGGCAAGGAGAGGGTCTGATATGGCTTATTTCCATCTAGGAAGAACTGAAGATACTATTTTAAAAATACTTTTAAAAGGGAAGGCAGGGAAAGTATAAGGTGAGGCTGGGATATCTTCTTGTACTAGAAAACAAAGAAGCATTCCTTGACTAATAGGGATCTGCCAAAAGGACACAAGTGTCATCATGAAGAGGCTCCCTTTCGGCAAATGTGGGAAATACAAGCACTAAAAAAGAATTATTGCAATTGATTGTTGTATATTAAATAAATAAAAATCAATTAGTCTATAATTATACTCAAAAGAGAAAAAAAAAAATGCCGCCATTGAGGGTGACTATTACACTAACTTCTTACCACCAAAATTGGTAAATAATGAGAAAAGCATTTCACTTGCTTTTTAAAAGAGGAACTATAGTTCATCTGATGTTGATAAGAGAAAGTCTATAGGAAAAAATGCCAAGTAAAAATGTGGAAGAAATAGTAGAATTAGGAAATCTTCATTTTACAACCCCTAAAGAAATAATTGATTCTAGCAAGAATCATCAATGTATTCTAAAACTCTTAAGCAAATATTTGAGGGAAAACTGGACATTCACAGAATGCCCAAGCACTATCCTATAGATTATCTGCTAATTATAAAGGAAATCTTGTCTATAGAAAGAGGTACTGTGTCTGGCCACCACCACATTAGCATCACGAACAGCTGATAGCCTGGCATGATGGGATGCCATTTGAAGTACACATGCCAAAAATGTTTAATCTGAATCCAAACAAGACTCTGGACCAAATTTCTAGTTTGTAGGGAAGAGTGAGTAGAGGAAAAAGTTAAGAGACACCACAAGGAAACAATCAGACAAATCTAGAACATGAAACATTCTGATGATTCATCTGGCTTCTTCAGATTGATATTTAACAACTGTTAGGACCTCAGTTTGAGTGAGGTTCTGAGATAGAAAGAAATGTGTCAGAATAAAAGACAACAGTGAGAAATGAAGTCGTATTTTGTATTGGCAATCTGCTACTTCACAGCTTGAGAATCAGTCCTAAGAGAGAACTATATTTTTTAAAAATGACAAACATTCTATTATTAGTCAGAATCCCACACCCAAAATGAACCTCTCTACCATTTTACAAGACATTTAAAGAGAACTATAAAATTTAATATTTTACATAATTAGATATTTATATTTTCGTTTCATTCCAAATAATCTATTATACTATGAAACAAGTATTGATTTTGTCCTCTTATTTGCAACAGTATGTAAATTAACAGATTCATTGGATGTGGTAAGCCCAGGTTCACCTACTTCAGTTCACTGTTCACTGGGTACCTAGATAAATGCTTAAATCATCATTGAGAATAATATTCTGCTTGATCAGAAATCACTTGGTAATATGATATTGATACTTTGATAATAAATTACATTTATACTTTTATGGCGTGTGATTTCATATATATTATCTCATTTGATAATCCTAACAACCTTGTGCTATGTGCAGGTAGATCAGGTGTCATTATCCCCACTTAGCAGATGCAGAAGCCAGAGGTCAAATAAATTCGTTTGTCCAAAGTCACATAGATAATGAGAAGAAGAACTGGGGGTTTCTGGCTCCAACTCCAGTGCTTTTCTACTAACCATCCTAGGTATTCTCTCTAACCAGTAGTCCTGAAACCGTGATTTCCAGTCTCTAGCTAGTCCCTGACTGAGGCTGCCAGCACAGACATAGACAACTAAAACAGCCCGGGTATGACATCAAGTCTACTGAGTAAGGTATGCACTTTGGTCACTTTCTGCAAGGCCCAATGTACTACTTGTCTTATGAGTCTTGGATTTAATCAAAACTCTGTGCTCCCACTGCCTCCAGGAACGACACTGATTGTGCACCTTTGGCGGTGTACACTACCATTCGTTCCTTGTCTGCACACTCTGATTAGCTTGCCCTGTTATAGCTTACCATTCAACTGCTTTGTCACTCCTTCCCTTTAAATGTCCAGGGTGTGGTAAGCAATGAAGCCTCATTGTGAGAATTTTTCCTTTCCGATTCTGATTGCTAGTTCCCTATCAGTAGCAGGATTTATTATTATATAATTATCATGATTTATTGATATGTAGGGTTTATAGGGGGTCCTGCAGTAATTTAGAAATTTAGGGCTGGAGTTGCAGCACATGTTGAGCCCTTGGCTTCTCTGCATTTTGACTTCCTAGTATTCCTTTCTGGAGACACTATACCTGTTCGCTCTGACCTCCTTTCTGCCCATTTGCCATTTCTACATTTCCCAAAATGACATGTTACTCTCCCAGTGGTGAGTCTTGAAAGATAGAGAGGTTATGAAAAGTTAGGTGATCCTTGTGAGAAAGCAGGAGAGTGAGCAATGAGATACAGACAGACAAGGACAAATGGCTGGAATTAGGGGGGAAAAAGAAAAAATATAGACCTAGAAATAGCCAAAACGGTTTTTAAATTTTATCTAGGTCCCAGAAAAGTCATAAGATAGTAAATTAAGAAACAGGAATGGTGAATTGAGTTGTTAAATACTCTACTTCCCTCACCCCAGTTTAATTTGCATTTCCATATTCTCTATGAACATCTAACCTTTCCATATACTCTCAGAATCTCACATTTTAAATAGTATTCATGAATTAAATATCTTCCTAAAGTAGATTCCAGGTCCAGAGAGGCCTCACGAACTCTTTTAAAAAGTTTGTTCTTATTTAGAACTTGGGAGGAAACAAATGAATGCTCCGTAATCTATTTGGCCAGGCTCTAAAGTCACTTCTTTTCAGAATTCCCTCAAATTCCTGAACTAGAATTTATTGCTTTGACCAACTTCTTCCTCCCACCAACCAACACACTAAAGTTTCTTTCCAGGCTTTTTGAGTGATTGCCCACAATTAGGAACAACCCAGCATACCCATTACGTTGTCACTTCCTACCAGATGTTTTCCAGCTGTTCTCAATGTCTTTTTGCTAATGCTCTGCCATCTGCTACCTTAATGGTGGCACAATGGGGAATGGCTGCTTTGGTGACTTTGCTCTACAAGTTATAAAGACCTGGCCCACTGCCTCATCCTGGAAAGTCTGATATGCACATTTGTCACATTTCTCCAACTAGTTGTTGCATTTATTCCATCTACTAACTAGCCAATATTAAACCGGTGTGACATGAAATACGTGAGCTCTCACTATCAAATCTAAACCTGGATCAGTCTTCATTAATGGACACATTCACATCTTATTTCCAGCTATCACAGGTCCTGCCATTAAGACAACAGCTAACATCTTATTGCCCAATCAATACGATTCCCTTTCACCTTTCTTTGTATTTTTTTTTTAACCAGCATGCCAATAGCACATCAGTACAGTAAGCAGTTATGCTTCCTTTGTGTCACCTTGTCGGTTACACCTTATACATGGAAATCTTATGTTTGTTTGATATTCTCTACAGCTGAATGAAGACAAATCTTAGCCCTCTGAGACTGATGGTAACTTATCAGAGTCAAATTCTGCCAAGGCATAGCAGTTATCAATGTAGATTTCCAGGGACTGTAAATCAGTGTGTAATCTATTTGTATATACTTATTGAGGAGATTATTGCTCCCTTCAATTATGGAAACTATTTTTCTGAAACCATCATTATACTAGATGTGAAAAAGGTTAGTACCATTAGCCCATAATCCCTTCCGAAGGCCCGGTGGGAATGGTTGTTTTTGGGACTTTGGCAAACATAACAGTAAGTTCAGGAAAACTGATATCCATACTAATTACAATGTACTTGTCTCCAGTAATCTATATTTTTAATTAATTATTTTAAGATTTGAGCTGTCACCACATGATAACTCCATGTCTTATCTTCCAAAATGACACCAACCCTCGATGGCTGTCTTAAATAGACAGCTTGTTTAAAGTATTTGCGCTTATGGTCACAAGCCAGATCTACTTGCAGTACAGTCAAAATACAAATCTAGGACCAAAAGAGGATGTTAATATCATCCCTGACAGCACAAACACATGTTCTTTGGTTTCATAACACTATTTTTACTTGAACAGGTACCTTCTTCCCCATTCCAGCTTATATTTATCAGAAATTAATGAAAATGTCAATCTTTTATTTGATAAAGCAATAAGATCTCAAACAGCAACTTCATGTTTTACTTGGAGCAGCCATGAATGTAGCAACAGTGGAATCACCATGTGCTAAAAGTTCACTCATATCCACTGTAGTCAATAAACGTACTTACTGGTTTTACACATACTTAAAGAGTGTCTTCAACTTACAAAACATGCTAGTGTCTTGTCAAATGTGCTTATCTTTGTAAGGAATAAAGACAAGGTGCTTCTAGTTAGCGAAGGACACAGATTCTAACAACTAACTATAATACAAAACAGAATAATATAAAATAAATAAGAACAACAAACTGAAACTCTGGTAGTTGGTTGAGAATTGGAAAATACTTAATGGAAGAGGTGGTGTTTTCACTGCATCTTGGTGAGTAAATAGAATTTTGGTCAGTAAACAGGAAAGAAATATAGTTAGGCTTTTTTTTTTTTTTTAAAGAAGACTATAAATGAACCTACCAAACTCCACTGTGCTTCATATAATCACTGATATTTTGCACCCCTAAGAGTGTTATTTAAGTTTTCAATGCAGTTAATTGAAACCCTACTAGATGCAAATCAAAAGTTTCAGCCTTAATTGAGATATTTTGAAAATTGAACCCATTGCTTCAGGCAGGTGCTACATGAGATTCCATTAATATAGGTAATTAACATTAGCCTCTGCTTTAATTAACATGCATACTTTAATTAGCAAAGCATTAACCAACATTAAAAAATCTGATCTTCATGCATCACAAAAAACTGCAAAGTTATGACTACTATGTTATTTTTCTCCAAGGTTGTAAATCACAAAACAGTGATCACTTCTGAAGTACACGTCAAATTTAAAATATTAAACAGGGAGATATGTACAATATGAGTGAAAACATAATCAAAATAAAAAAGGATGCTATTTAGAAATTATAGAGCCAACAGCTTTCACATTTTAAACAGGAGTTACATTGTAATCTCTCAATGATCATTTGCAAGGCAGGAGACTTTTGGCTTGAAAAATCCCCATAGACTGTCATCTTCCTTATATGTAATAAATCAAGGACTATATTAGAGTACCATTATCTATGTGACCATCTACCTCCTAACCTCTTCTTATCCTTCTCAGGGATCAAAGAAAGCACCAGTTTCTGAAGACATTTAATACCTGAGGTCTCAGACTAGCACAAACTTCATTTTTAAAACAATCTATGTTGCCTTGTTTTATGTTTAAGACCAAAATGTGTTACACTAGTTCTTTATTGTCAATCTACCATGTGTGGGACCACCAACAATTAAGGATGCCTTTTGTTAAATATAAAATTGGCATTCATGCTCTTTCCTTACTATGATAATTAGATGTGCCAACTTTCAAATCCTGCTCATATGCTGTATAGATTTTTTTATTACTTTAATGAAAACAGCATCATCATTATATGGAATAGAAGTACCATAGAAATGGTATCCATATAGAGATCATTGTATTCTTTAATGCCAAGACATGATAAAATTATGGTAAAAAATGGCAAACTTTTAAAAACATACATACATTCACAGAAAAAGTAATCATATCCTTCCTGATTAAGCATTAAGAAAAACAATCATAATACTGCAGATAGATCAAAATTAAAAACAACGAAGTCTCTAGTAAGTCCGTACTGGATATAAGGCAATATTTAGACACAGAGAAATCTGAAAGACCATGACAAAAAGTGTCCTGGATCTCATAAGCTTTCGTTTAAATCCAAACTGAAAATCTCAAAAATTAGGTCCATTGTGGTAAATGCTGGTATGATGAGAAAAAAACAGTTAGGGAGCAGCACTCACAGATTTGTAGGCTCATTTGCTGCTTTAAGCTGTTACTAACATTGGAATTGCTTCCATTGACTCTAATGAGCGTTGGGCTTCTCTCTTCTTGTTCCTGCCACTGGCTATTTTAGCATCACAGCCACTACAGGGTCAGCATGAGTCAGCATCTTCTCTCTACTCCTTTTCAACTAACAAATGGGGAAATAAATGTTTCTTGGGTTTGCAAAGCCATTCCCCAAGTTACAGTGATTTTCTTGGCCCTTTTCCCTACGTCAAATCAGAGCCTGGGCTCCCAGGAGATCATGCAGGAACTGGCCATTCTTCTGGATCTGTGCTGAGGGCAGTACCCTGTAAATAGGTGCAAGGACACCTCTCAGTTCTGTTTAAGTGAATTTGAGGAGTCTTTATCAAATTCTCCCCCATTCCATAAACTGTATTATGACAAAATTCCATATATTGGATTGCCGTATGTCAGTTCTATCTATGCTCTGCTAATTAAATTCACTTGGGCTTTCACTCAGGAAAGGTATAATATAAGCAGGATAAACAGAGAGAAGCATATTTACAGCCAGGGCTTTAAGAAGCATAGAACCCTGCTTTATAAATGTGTGACAAACCCTCACAAACTTCCCTGTTGTAGGTTTTAAGTTCATAGGGCCTTCCTGAGAGAAGTCCTTCAAAGATGTAGGAGTGGAACAATAGCATCAACCACTGAGCCATTTACTTAACTGGGTATAACACTGAGGCATTTACTTAACTGTCAATAATATTTAGGACAATTGCCTATGAATGAGAGATTGCTCTACACTAAACGTATGTATTCCTCTTCATTCTAGGGCAATGTTTTTCAGAAAGTAGTCCTCAGATTATCAGTTTCAGAATCAGCTGGTACATTCACTAAAATGCAGATTCCCAGGCCCAGTGAGGACTGAATAAACCTTAGTTTCCCAGGTGAGTCGGTTTTGACTGTCACTCCCAGGTGATGCTTACTCAGAGTAAATCTGGAGAACTGCTAAGAAGGAGAGAAACCACTGTCTTCTAGTTCTCGTACTACAGGTGGTGGTCATGAAAGTGAGCAAAATATTCTGTACCTAATCTCATAACTCTGTATAGATCATTGTGGGAAAAGAAAATAGGTTTTGTGGGCGTGCTTAGGCAGGCGGCGGGGCGGCTAGAGTGCCCTGGGGAGGGCTGTGCCGGGTTGCTTTCTACAGCCGCGTCTCGGCCAGCTCTCCTCGCCGTCCCCGGGGCGCTGTGCGTCTCCAGTCCGGGACCGAAGCCGCCTGCCGTAGCGGGCGGCCAGATCCGCGTCCCACCTCAGCGCCCGGAGGACATGCGAGAGAGAGAATGAGCCAGAGGGACACGCTGGTGCATCTGTTTGCCGGGGTATGTGGTGGTACAGTGGGAGCTATTCTGACATGTCCACTGGAAGTTGTAAAAACACGACTGCAGTCATCTTCTGTGACACTTTATATTTCTGAAGTTCACCTGAACACCATGGCTAGAGCCAGTGTCAACCGAATAGTGTCTCATGGACCTCTTCATTGCCTAAAGTTGATCTTGGAAAAAGAAGGGCCACGTTCCTTGTTTAGAGGATTAGGCCCCAATTTAGTGGGGGTAGCCCCTTCCAGAACAATATACTTTGCTGCTTATTCAAACTGCAAGGAAAAATTGAATGATGTATTTGATCCTGATTCTACCCAAGTACACATGATTTCAGCGGCAATGGCAGGTTTTACTGCAATCACAGCAACTAACCCCATTTGGCTTATAAAGACTCGGTTACAACTTCATGCAAGGAACCGTGAGGAAAGGCGAATGGGTGCTTTTGAATGTGTTTGTAAAGTGTATCAGACAGATGGACTAAAAGGATTTTATAGGGGCATGTCTGCTTCATATGCTGGTATATAGAGACTGTTACCCATTTTGTTATTTATGAAAGTATAAAGCAAAAACTACTGGAATGTAAGACTGCTTCTATAATGGAAAATGATGAAGAGTCTGTGAAAGAAGCATCAGATTTTGTGGGAATGATGCTAGCTGCTGCCACCTCAAAAACTTGTGCCACAACTATAGCATATCCACATGAAGTTGTAAGAACAAGACTATGTGAAGAGGGAACAAAATACAGATCTTTTTTTCAGACACTAGCTTTGCTCGTTCAAGAAGGTGGTTATGGGTCTCTTTACCGTGGTCTGACAACTCATCTAGTGAGACAGATTCCAAACACAGCCATTATGATGGCCACCTATGAATTGGTGGTTTACCTACTCAATGGATAGCAGCATGAGGGCTGCTGTACTACAGAAAAAGAAGACCAAAAGATGACAGTTGTCCATGGAATATGGAAGCCAGCATGGCAGACAGAAGAAAAATAGTTTGGGAACATGTAACTATTATAAGTGGAAGTTTTGTTGTGGGAATTATAGTGATCACACCACATTTCTTGGCCTTTCAGTAATGTGGAGAAAAAAAAAAAACCTCAGAACCTCCAAGGAAATGCCTTTAGAAGCACTCCTCTCTCAAAATTGCCATTCTCTCTACCATGTCCACCAGACACAGTTGGGTTTTGTTGATTTATGGCAGTCTTTTAAACAAAGCCATCTTTAATTTTACATACTGTATTGTAACTATCCAAAGATAGTATTGGCAGTCATAAATCTATAACTTCTGGCTTTTGTTTAATTCCAGTAAAATCACAACAATGACAATGAGATCGTCAGTATTATTTTCACATTCCCCTGAGAGGACCTGGCACAATATTTTATATTTAATTATTTGCAGTAGTCACTGTTTTTGACAACCAATGAAATAGCGTCTAAATATCTTGTATATTTTTTAGCATCAAAATGTTTCAGTGTCCACTGCTAACAGGTGCTTGATGTTTAGCCTAATGTGTATATTTAAATTGTTAACATACCAAACACACATGGTAATAGTTTGGGACAAAATAACTAGTAAATTGTTGATTCTTGGCTATTTCGCTGAAAAAAAAAAAGAAAAGAAAATAGGTTTTGTTGGGACACAGCTTTCATTAAATAGAGTCACCTTTGATAATTAACTAAATTTGATGGGCAGATAATAAAAGTCACATAAAAGAGAAAGATTTATGTTTATGTTTAATATATTTTTATAGTCATACATGCTATAAATATTGCTTCATGAATGCATTTTAAGCATGAGATTTTCCCAACACATTTATTTTTAAAAATCCAAATTAGTTCTGTTGGTATTCTACTTTTAATACTTACTTCATCACTAGATGGCCAGATCTTTATTATGTTTCATGTCAACCAACTCTGACTTTCACTGAAATATCTAGATGAGAGATATTTATCTTGAGAAAAACAGACAGATTTATCTTAAGAGAGACAGATCTAACATACATTGACTTTCTTTAGATTTCTGATTATATTCTATATGACATGATCATCATAAATCTGGGACAGTGTGGTCCATGCCACCTACCTAGACAAAAAAGTTAGATTAGCAAAAAAAGCTTTCCCCAGTCTGACCCCAATCTCCTTTTAAAATTGTTATCTCTCATTACTTTCTACATAATAATCTTCCCCACGCAATTTGTCTATTTATCACTGGCTCCCAAATAGAAAGGCTTCCTACCCCTGAGTTTTGCAAATATTTCTTCTGCATGAAACGCTTTCTCTAATCTGCTCTCTTACTTCGATGAAACCAAAAAGTCCTCTAAGGGCCAACACAAACAACTCTTTCATTTCCCCAAGTCTATGTCTCTATTCATCCATTATGTATCGCTGACCACCTTGCATTGGCAGAGATCTATCTGCTAGTCTTCACTTCCTAACTAAATTATGAGCTTCTTAAAGTTAAGGACTTCCCAATATATTTAGGACCCTGTCTGACACATCAGAGTTACTTGGAAACTTGACCTCAACATTTAAAAAGATTTACTAAGAGATCCAATAATAAATTGTTCTAATATGCCATATGGAGTTTAACATTTAGTTACAGTTAACATCTTGCATCTACGCTCTAGTGGAGAAACCACATCCAGTTTCACACAGTTTACTGGAGACATCAAGGTATAAGGAAAATAAAAGAATGTTAATGACTAGGTAAGTAGGGCCTTTATACCTTAACTGAAATAAAATTCATTTCTGTGGTGATACAGTCATTCTCTGCCACAGTCGATTATTTCCTAATCTGCTGCATATTCACTCTTTTCCTGATAGTCAATAATTTTACTTCATTAATCAATTTTACTCATTAATATCTTATTCCTATTTGATGAATTTTTCTGAAATCAACTTCTCAGTTGGGATTTCCTCATGAAAATATTTTACCACCTAAAAATTATGTAATAAACAAGATTGTGGTTGCAAATTCTGCAAACATTATTTTGTGAATTTATAGAAATACTTAAAGCATGATTTTTTCATATCCTTAATATATTGTGTAAAAATAGCTCCTTCATAATACTTTTTTTTTTCCTGAGACAGGGTCTTGCTCTGTCACCCAGACTGGAGCACAGTGGTGCAATCACAGATCACTACAGCCTCGATATTCCAGGCTCCAGCTATCCTGCTGCCTCAGCCTCCTGAGTAGCTGGGACCACAAGCATGTGCCACCATGCCCAGCTAATTGTTTTTTTTAGTAGAGACAAGGTCTTGCCATGTTGCAGGCTGGTCTTGAACTCCTGAGCTCAAGCAATCCCCTGCCTCAGTCTCTGAAAGTGCTGGGATTACAAGGCCTGAGCCAAGTGGTTCAGCTCATAATATTTCTAATTGTGTACAAGGTATCTTTTAAAAAGACTATCAGTCTGGTATATTTCACTCTACCTAATTAATTCACAGAATTGTGTGTTTTGTTTTGATTTAATTGGTTTGTTGCATTTGTGATTGGTTTCTTTTCAATACATTTTCTCACAGAGAAGAAAATTTTCATTTTAGTCAATGCCATTTCATTCCATGACAGAACATCCCCTAGGGTAGCCCTCAGGGTATGAGAAATATGCTGTGGGACTGTGTCAGAAAAACAGACCCAGAGTGTCAGTGGTGCAGGCTTCAGAGTCCAATTCTTGTGAAACTAGAGTTTGTAATGGATTCACATAGCTCCCTCAGTCAGCTGCAAACAACATACCAATATTAAATTGGGTATGACATTTTTTGAAAGAGAAAATTACACAGCAGATATTATAGCTGCTAAAAATTATGGACATTTTATAGGGCAAAGTCTGATTTTTAATAAAGATCTGAAATAATGACTTTAAGTTTGAGCAATTAGTTAAGAGTTTAAGGTACAATGGTTTCAAATTAGACTTGTATACATGGCAGAAGAACCCAAATGGCCCAAGACACGGGCCATCTGATTTGCTACTATGAGTCTGTGTAAGTTTGTAGTAGGCAGAAACTCAGAAAGTGCCACTCATTCAACTTACATGAATGTGAAATGATAGAAATCCATTATTGTGTTTTTCTGTTGAACTCAAATCATGACTATAAATAAAAATGAGGCAATATCTTATTTGCTCTAGTTTTACTAACACAAAGACCACAGAAAGCAAATGAACAAATACAAACTTATAACTCAGTACTTCTCGATTTCATTATATTCTTCAAGATAATTATTATTATTCCCTTTTTATAGATAAGAAAATTGATTACAAACTGTATTAGGCAATGCTTGCATTGCTATAAATACTTAATACTGGGTAATTAATAAAGAAAAGAGGATTAATTGGCTCATAGTTCTGCAGGCTTTACAGGAACCATGTCAGCTTCAAAGGAGGCCTCAGGAAACTTACAATCATAGTGGAAGATGAAGAGGGAGCAGGTGTGTCACATGGAGAATGCAGGAGCAAGTGAGAGAGAGAGGGGAAGGGAGGTGCCAAATACTTTTAAATGATCAGATCTCATGAGAACTCACTATCAGAAAGACAGTACCAAGCCATGAGTGAGCCCTCATAATCTAAACACCTCCCACCAGGCCCTGCCTCCAGCATTGGGGATTACAATTCAACATGATATTTGGGTGGGGTTCAAATCTGACAAACATATATATCCAAACTGTATCACAACACTTATTAATAAATGAAAGGAAAAGGAGAAAAAAATGGCCAAACATGGTAGTTAAACTTTTGATGATAGAATACCTAAATTGAGGCCAAACATATGCCAACTAAATGAGTGACTCTTCCACACTTTAAATGTTATGGCACGCAAAGTTGTCCCTGGCTGTATATAAGTGATGGATTTATTTATTTTTATTTTTATTTTATTTTATTTGAGACAGGGTCTTGCTCTGTCACCCAGGCTGGAGTGTAGTGGCACAATCACATTTCACTGCAGCCTCGACCTCTTGGCCTTAAGTGACCCTCCCACCTCAGCATCCTGAGTAGCTGGGACTACAGGCATGTGCCGCCATGGCCAGCTAATTTTTAATTTTTTTTGTAGAGATGGGGTCTCCCTATATTGCCCAGGCTGGTTTCAAACTCCTGGGTTCAAGCATTCCTCCCACCTTGGCCTCCCAAAGTGTTGGGATTATATGCATGAGCCACTGCAGCACTCTAGTGATGGACATTTTCAAGATGTGCATTCAGAAAGAGGAATGGGAAGAAAATAGCAACTCAGGAGAAAGGTGAGCAAGCCTAGGGGATAGCAGTAGAGCTGTAGCTTGAATGGAGAGTAAAGTCTTCTTGGCTGGAAATGAAAAATTAATTTGGTGTGATGGCTGGCAGTATCGTTAAAGAAAATGCAAACTATATTCTATTTAATCCAATATGATTATAATGCATGCAAGTCCCTTGTAAGAAATTTTATGATTTTATAAAGATCAAAAGGCAAAAGAATATTCTGGGTTTCTAAGAAAGTGAAGGAAAATTGGGTAAGAGGCAGGTGGAGTAATCTAGACATAAATAGATAAAGGCCTGGGCTCCTAGGCCAGATAGGGAAATAGAAAAACATGATTCCAAGGGGCCTTGTCAAGGAAGATGCAGCAGTTCTTGGTGGCTGGTGGCTCCCATTTGGAAACAAAAGGGGAGAAGAACAGTGAAAATTATTTTCAGCTTCTATAGCCAAGGAGCCTGGCACGTTGAAAGGATATAATGACAGAAAAGGTGGAAAAAAAGAAAGTGGTAAACTTAATTATTATGGAAATTTTCAGGTGACAACAGTATATAAAACTAGCAGTCTTCTAGAGTCAATATAGGATGGAACCATAGCATGCAAAGTGGGAGGACACTAAACTGAAGATGTAGATCTGGACACCACTGCCTATAGTGGTGGCTACAATCATCCTAAATGATAAGATTCCTAAAGGAATATGCATACTA